TATATATATATATATATATATATCTTAATATATATATGTATTAAGTTGATCAAATCATATTCTTCTTCCTGTTTTTTCTAACATGTTGACTGCCACGGAACTTTTCATGATTCTGGTCTAAGAAGCCAATTTGATTTAATCAAGTAATGAAGCGACGAGATAACTCGTAGTTGGCGTCCTGGGCAAGTAAACAACCTACGAGATATCTCGTAGTTGGTAGTCAACATGTTAATAATATAATTACGAAAAAAAACGATAGATTACTCAGACGAATAGATATAAGTGAAGAAGGTTCCAAGCTTAGAATATATATATCTATTATCATATCTTTTTAAGTATCTAATTTCTCATCCCGTTATTTTGTTTTGGAAGTTCTCATTAGCCTCTGTAAGCTTGTACATTTTATTTTGTATTTCTTTGGTCTTTTGCTTCTGTTTATAATGCATCATCGCATTCTTATTCTGTCCTTGCTTCAAGACCTTTTGTCCTTGATGAATTACCAAAAGCATTGTTGGCAAAATTTATGATGATTTTAAGAAATTAATGGCTGCGATTTGTTCGTCTCGTTCTTCATGTTCTAATACGAATCGTCGATCAAATCATCTATCGAAATGAAGGAAATTTCTGATCAACTTGATATTTAAACGCATATATTTTATAACATTGTCAATTGTCAGAAATAAAAAAACTTAACCCTCTGCTGGAGCATTATATCTGCCTCTCGATTCTAGAGCACATAGGTGTGCGTCACCCGACGTTTTCAATCGCATATATCTTTGTATGTAACGCATAGAATTTAGACTTTTTTTTTTTTTAATTGATACTTCAAACGATGAAAAGGGAGACTGAATGGGTATGAAAATCGAGAAATTGTAAATATTCGGAATATTTAGGAGAAAAGAAAAGGAAACATTTTAACTCACAGGAAAAACACTTTTTTTTCTTTTAAATTCGTAGTTTTTTCGAGAGGAAAACCGTTAAAGAGATTTCTTCAGCGGGTTTTCAAAGGTAATCGAACGTACTTTAACAAAAAAATATTATTATTTCGATTATTTTCAAAAAGTATATTCTTTCGGTAAAGTGAAATTAAGTACTTTCGGAATAAAAAAAAATACATGAATTCAGAAGAAATCATTCATTTTCGATTATGAAACTTGAAAAGTACATAAAATACAATAAAATATGCTTAATCACTAGACATTTGAATGGAACATTCGCAACAAATTTTTGCAAATACGGGTCTTATGGTTTCTACCACAGCCAGATAGCCAATAAACTTCTAGTTCTTACCGAAAAGCTGCATGTTGATTGGCTGCCGCGTGAATTTTCGCCGCGGGGCAAGCGTTGCCGCGTTCTATGGGCAGAAGCCATTAATAAGTGGTGTAGTCCCTATTTTTCAGGGATCATTACGATAAGTCTGACGTTCTGGACGTATATAATCTTTTAATAACTATAATAAATGCATGCTATTGTATATTTACGCAATTGCTCGTGTCTTCATTGTTCTTCGCTCAACCTTTCGCTATATTCATATTCTTATCCAGACGCAGAGCACTCAACATCTCAGGTAGCGCCGGTGAATACTGATGGGCCTAAAACAAAAGAGCAAAGGTTATTCCTAATACCCTAGTGGGAACGGGGATGTTACGGTAGTACTGAATGCAATTGGTTGTGTTCAGCAAAGAAAGCAACTTTGAACCTGTGTAAAATTCATGAACCTGATGAAATTCGTGATAGGTGTAGACTTTTAATCTTGGTTAAATCTGAAAGCATATACCAATTAGATTCACAAATTTTACAACAGTTGCAAAGATACTGAACGCAACTATTCGGTGCTTTCTATTTAGTTACACAAGTTGAATAACAAATCTTTCTTATTATTTGAACGCGAAACAAAGACAAAATGATGTTTGTGTCGACTTGTGTCACCAAATGGAAAGCACCAATTGTTTTCGACTAGAATATTCTTTTGGATCTTTCATAGATCCAGGAGAATATACCAATCAAGAGCAGTTATCATTTATTCGTGGTTGCTGGATTATTTCTACAGAAGGATTAAAATATCTACAATATCGTGAGTTTTACAGACTTTTCTTTTCAAGAAGTCAGTGACCACCTGTCTAGTGTGTGTTATCTAAGTCCAAATGCAGCGGCCGAAGCTGAATCTCAATGAAACGAATAGTCAGCGGAATATATACGGCAGTTGGTGTTCGTCGGTTTATGTCGTCGGATGTCACGAATCTGTCAATTTAATTTTGTATAAATTGTTGTTATGGAGAATACTCGCGACGAAGAATCAGCAGATTGCAGAAGGCCGGAGGATATTAATAACTCGGATCATCCTTGGAGCACCTTGGAAACTATTACTACGTTTGATCAGGGTATAATGCAATAAATTACAAAAGTTTCAATATTGGTTATTCCGCGGTTTTTTCAATTATCTTCGAAAATATAATTTTTCACAAAAGAATCACTTTTATGCATCTGGTTATTCTGATTATTTAAATTATATATCATTTCGAGGTCTATATTATATAGAAAACATATATAACGATGGAAAAATATCAAATAAATTGTTTATCATATATAAATAATTTATCTATATATATATATATATATATCTAAAATTTCAGTTATATTCATTATTTTTATGCAAATAGGTAATAATATGATGCCAACACTTCGTCTAAATAATATTAGAGAAAGTCAAGACAATAGACAAGTTGCACAAGTAAATTCTTCATCTAGTATGTTAATTGTGTCTATTATACAACATTTATGTGCCTTGCTTGAGAAAGATGAAGCAAGCAGAAATAAGTTATATTACGGTAATATATTTAAATTAGTTTTAAAATATATATGTTATTTTTATATATATCATTTCGATATCATATATACAGAGAGAATTCTATTCAGAAAGATTGATAACTTTGTATTTTGCAGCAATCTGTGATAAAATGCATGAATTTGAATTAATTGATAATTCTTATAATATGATGGAATTTGAGTCAATGAGAGGACAATATCAACGTGCCATTTATCGTTTAATCACACTTGCACGTTCCATAACTGGGAGTGAGAACATTCTGCATATACCTAAGTATTGTAGTTTTTTATATAGCCTCTGAAGTAATTGGATCTCTAAGGAGATCCCACTAATAATGAGATATTTTTTATAATTTCTTAGATTTTACAGACAATTCTATATTAATATTATTTATTTCTACACAGTTACTTGCCGGATTTTTCTCGTTACCTTTGGGAATTTCAAGAAATAAATTTCATTGCTGGTGGTGGATTTGGCCAAGTGTTTAAAGCACTACATCGTCTTGACGGTATTGAATATGCAATCAAGAAAATAAGTGTACTCTCAAGTCGTTTGAAAACTATAACTTCGTATCTAAAGGAAGTGAAGACTCTGGCTAAGTTAAATCATCCAAATATTGTTCAATACAAAGCAGCTTGGATTGAGCCATCGTTGCCGTCGTCCTTTGTTTCAAATATGTCGTCCGTATCTACAGAAACATCCACATCGCACAAATCACATACATTAGAAGACGCGAAAGATTCACAATCGGAGAACTCGCAGTCTAATGAAAATTCCACTAATAATTCAAGCAGTTTAAATCTTGATAAGGCAAAAGACAGTAAGAGGCAAACTACATTTCTTCACGGCAAAACAGCTAATAAGTCTGCTAAAATATCAAAATGTCTACTGAACATCAAGTGGGAGAATAAAATGGATGACACTGCCAATGGCTATACAGCTAATGATGATACAGTTAATAAGAGATTAAGTGAACTTAATTCATTAACTAATATGATAGGGAAGCGTATAACAGAGAAAAGTATTACGCAAGAATGTTCTGAAGATAATTCATACATAGTATCTTTTAGAAATAGCAAAAGTAGCGAGAATAAAAGTGAAGCTTCAAAACATTCTAACTCCGCAAATCATAATGATTCACATCAGGAATCCTCTAACCATCGAGAAATGTGCACATTTTTCCCCACCTTCGACGTAATGAAAACAAGCAAGGTACATTTAAAAATATTAATATCTGAACATTGCAGCATATTACTCTGCAAGACACTATATTAATATATCAATATTTTTCTTATTTTACATACAAAATCAACAGTACATGACATTATATATTCAAATGGCTTTGTATGAACAAACGCTCAAAGAATGGATGTGCGAGAGATCAAACGCAACGCCTCTCCCGGTGGTCAAAGCGGTGTTCGAACAAATTGTTGCTGGACTTGACTACATCCATTCACAAGGAATCACACATCACGACATAAAAGTAGATGTTTATATCTCTCACTTAAACTTGTAAAATATCGTGTTATTCTCGAATCTAATAGGACACATTATATTGTTACAGCCGAGCAACATATTCATTACGACGTCCGGACCACTTCAGATTCATTTGGGCGACTTTGGCTTAGCTTGTTCGTTACACAGAAAGAACCATCATTCAGTAATTGGTACTCAAATGTACGCGGCGCCGGAACAACTGGAAGGAAAATGTGACTCGAAAGTAAGTAACTGAAAACAGAGAATGATTAGCATATTGATATTTAGACGTATTTTTATTTGGCATTCTCCATACTTTCAGAGTGACATATATAGTACGGGAATCGTTCTCACAGAGCTGTTGATTCTAACGCAAACGCAAATGGAATTAATACATGTGATCAATTCTTTAAAGCATGGCGACATTCCTCAGGATCTCAGCACTGAGCGACTTAAATGGGTGGGTTATGCATATCCTTGTAAATACATATACAGGGTGAACGATGCAACGTGGTCAGTTTAGTTTATTCCACTGTTAGTGGACCGTTTGAACATTTTTTGTCTAGTATAACATAGTTCAAGATGAGCTTTAAGATCATCCACTTAAAGCAGAATAAACTAAGCTGATCACGTTGCACGACCCTATATATAGCCATAACATCTGATTGAATCTTTTATCTTTTACTTAGGCACGATTGATTATACAATTAATAAAAGAGGATCCTGTTAAACGACCATGTGCGAATCAGCTTCTGCAAGATTTAAACGAAGAGAAGGATGCCACGATAACTGAGTTGAAAAAGAATCTTCTTGAGAGAGATAACACGATTCGAGAATTACAGAAAGAGATCGCGTTGCTAAAGGAAAAATGTGAAAAATTGGAGATATCGCCGGAAAAGATATAATGTTATAGATTGCTATATTACAACAGGTAAAAAATATTTTATTATCTGACACCGATAAGACTGCTGAATGTCTTAATAATTTTTAGTCGATAAGACAATCTGTTAGGATAAGAACGGTGATAAATTTCTATACATTATAGTTACTTGCGTATAGTCTATAATACAATTCGACTTAATCGAACTGTAAAATAATATAATTAAATATTGGAATGTTAAGATCAAGTCGAGTATATGAAAACATAATGTTAAACAATTTTTAGTCTTGTTACGCGTATATCTATATAAATATTTATCGATACATATAGTATTATACATGTGTATACAAAGATTTTTTTTTACTGTATTTATTAAAATATTTCCGATAATCTCTTAAAGTCTTTCAATCCAACATTATTATTTAACGTATTTGTGTATAATGATTATCGTAAGTTTGTTGCTAATCTTAGAGAGAAATATTAGTAGAAACAACAAAGAATATTGCAAGTGCCATTTTTGTCATCATTCTAAATTCAATCTTAATTTCAGTTATTCTTTTGTATTTACCTAACTCTCCGTTATTTGCAACATCTAATAGATACATGTTCAGGCTACAATGTATCGCCGTTGCTATATCGCTTCAAGATCGAATTTCACTCAATGTTTTTTTTCTTTTTCCTTCTTGTTCTTTACTATTTTGTATGTATTCTAGTACCTCTATTAGTCAAATGCTAATGAAAGAAAAGTTGTTTCAAGAAACAGAGGAAAATAACGAGAAAATTAGTGTATTTGTGAGATATATTACTATTCGTGGGTGAAATATATTGCAACTAACGGAGAGTTAATCTCGTGCCTATGTTAAGATAATTTTCTTAATAACATGTCTGAAGATGCCTTGAAATGCTAGGCGGAAATTCTATTTAAAAAAAACTCTATAATTGTTCTAGTTAGGAACAATGTTGTAGGAACAATGTTGTTAGGAACTTTTATAACAGATATGCAATATTTGTAAATTACTATCGAACAGATATGTCATGAGAAATCCTTCAGAAAATAATCAATTCCTGAACTTAATAGAAATAAAATGCAATTACATATTATTATTTCAACTATCATTACTAAAATTACTTTATCACCGTTACTAGATATGAGATCATCATATGATGGCTGTATGATAAGTATCCGTGTTAGGGGAGGAAACGAATTAAAAAAAAATTCTTTTTTTACTTATTTCTTAACATAGTCTTCTTTCAGCTCGATACACTTTGTCCAACGATACTCCAACGTTTTTATGCCATCCTAAAAAATATGATTTGTCGAACTCCATAAAATAGGCCTCTGTTTCAGCGATGACTTCCTCGTTTGAGGTGAACCGCTTTTCGCCAAGCCATTTTTTTATGTTTGAAAATAAATAGAAATCGTAAAGGGCCGAATCACTGCCTGATATTGCTCTTTTTCCACGGTGGCAATCAAAAACTTGTCCACTTTCAACAGTTATCAAAACAAAACTACTTAATAAATCTATCTGAAATTTTGACTGTCGTCATTCGGAAGATAGCGTTAAACGATGATATATAGACTTTGAATCAATGACTCCATCAGTCGTTAAACACGGGTACTTATCATACAGCCCTCGTATTTAATATTTGAATATCATCATATGAGATGTCCGATAAATTATATGTAATATCATATGAACTGTCTGATAAATTATATATAATAATTATGGTCGCTCAGATAATGATTATAAATATCCTTAAGGGAGAATGCAAAGTCAAATTAAGGCAATCAAGGTTCTTGATTTTCTCACAATGCGTGCCAGTCCTTTGCCCTTCCTACAAATTAATATTATCATGTGAATTTATATTTATTATTCTTATATTATGTTATCATGTGACTTTATATTTATTATTCATATTATTTTATACTTATACAATATTATTTTTTTTATTATAAATGGTCTTGACAAAAGACTTTTTCTTGGAAAGTTATTTTTGTCAACACACGTGTATATGTATATAAAAAAAAAAAATTATATATATATATATATATATAAACCAAAAACAATGTTTGATTATTCGATAACGCTACGCCGTACACTCTGTTCGCTAATTGTTTTTATTTAATTTTTTAATGAATATTGCGAAAATCGCGAAACAATAGATGAACAAATTGATGTATGCTTGCAAGTTGGCCGGTAATTCAGTGCGATTCTTTACCTGGAAACAAAATTTTCTTTTTAATGTACGTTGAAATGTTACCTGTCATAATTACGCGCTTCTAAGATTTGGACTGATGATGGAAATTTTAGAATATCTAAAGCCATCTATCAGCAAAAGCCGCATGAAATTTTGGTCAACCCGATAAATTTGGAAGTGCACGCGACCGCGTGAGCTAAATAATGGCGTTTTCGATTTGCTGACTCGACTCAGAGTCATTTCTAAAAATGCACCAATCAGAACGCAGTACAATGACCCCGAGTCGAGTCAACAAATCGAAAACGCCATAAAGCGCGCGTCCTCACTCCGTGTTACATGATTCAAATCAGTCGGTCACTGCGGGTCATATTGTAGGTGGCGTTGGAAACTGACGCTAATTTTCACAGAAAGTTTTGCACCCCTTGTTCACTTTTCACTGGTCTGTTCTTTTTAGCTGCGCTGCCGAACTAGCGCAATAAGTTAGAGTGAGACAAATATGTTTTGTGCATCAGTTCAGCAGTGCAGCTGTAAAGAACAGACCACAACTATTTCATCGATGGTATGAAACGTGTTGGCGGTCTTGAGCGCGGTCTAAACAAATACAAAAAGTATGTGTATGAAAACAACTCTTTACAAAATATTGTCCACGTTAACGTCCAGTGATGATGGTAAGGTTTCAAATAAAGATATTCTATTAATAATGAATTACGTAAGTTAAGATACAGATCCCGGATCTCGATATAAATGTACTTGATTTTAGGTTAAGAAACTGCTTTAGCTAATAAAACGTTAACGATCATATTTATGTTCCATATTTTCAAACAACGTTTACAGATCGCTCCGAAAGTTTCGACGATAAGCTGGCGCGAAAACTATATGAGACAGAAACGTTAATCACAGATGAGATGAACATAAAAGTAGAGGATGAATCTGTCCGGTGAGTTGTATCGTTAAATTATTATCTAGGACAATGTAGAATCAAGAATAGAACACCTATGTATCTGTCATAAAATTGATAGCCTATGTAATTACATGACATATTGATTTCTATTTACAGAAAAAAGTACTTAGAAACATTGGTTTCTGTACTAAACAATATTATAAAAGCAAATGTAACAGATGATATAGAAACATTCAGTGTGAAACAGATCCAATCTGTGAAAATAGCGGTGGGAATAACAGTCTCAATAGGAATTATACCTTGTCTGGAACAAGGCGTAGGTATAGATATGGCAAAGCTGTGTCCCAGAGCTGTGAAAATTCCACAAGAAGATCTAAGCTGCATGCAGGTGAGATTCTTTACTTTCTGTACAATGAATTTCATATTGTGTAATCTGTCTATGGAACTGTCGTGTTTCATCGCGAATTTCACTTTTCAGAGATACGAACGACTAAAATATACAACTATTGCTCTCACAGATCTGTTTCACGATAATATCTTACGACCAACTATACTTTTGTATCTCGGTGCAATACTGGCAGCTCTATTGCAATTATCTTTTGCCCCACTGACTAAACCCAACATAGAAAGCGGACAAACGTCAAACACCAAAAACTGTGACCAGGCACAGTTTCGTGTGACAGTAAAACGATATCAATATTTAGTGGGCCAGCAAAAAGAATTTTATATTAGATTAATTTCGCTGCTAAGTGGTTGCCCACAATACAAGTGTATCCAAGAATTAATGGTGATTCATGGACAGCAGAAAACACCCAAATGGCTGCGCACGTGCACTCGGAACATTTTAATTAGCAAGGTTACGCAGCCAGGCGGAGTGTTGTCGCTAATCAATGCGATTTGCGGCAACGAGTTGGATATTGGCGAGAACTGGCCCATGTTGGACTTGGTCTCAAAGTTGTTAGCAACACCCCACGGAAAGAACTCGGACGAATATTACAGACTTGTGTGTCCACAGGTAGGTAGGTGTGTGTGCGTGCGTGCGTGTTTGGTCGTGTGTTAAAATTGAAATATGCAAAATATATTACATAAAGTATATTGCATAAAATTTATATTACACGCTCATATACAAAATAAGATGAAACAGATCACATTAATTCTCGACCTCTCACCGAGTGTTTACGTTTCTAGATTCTAGATCTACTCTCGTCGGATAAAATCAACCACGGCTCGACGATAGCGAACTGTTGTATCGTCGCTCTGTACAATCGCAACCCGTCCGCCTGTCATAAGTACATAATAGAAGCCATGTGTACGCCTTTAACAACGGCAGAACCGTTCGTTTCAAGATCCGAGAAGGAAACGGAACGGTGCATCACGACGTTGGCGAAATGCTTTCTAGCCGAGGACGCGAAGTTCAAGCATCCACCTAGCAAACTCATCCTGCATGTCGCTACGCCTTTGTTTTGCCTCTACAACCAAGCCCGTCGAAGCCCTTGTGTGTTGAAGAAACATTTGCAACAGCTGTTGCTGAAAATCCTCGAGGACGAGACGAAGCGGGAAGAGCTCTATTCTGCTTTCCTGGGATACCGTACGTCGGCTGGATTCGGGGATTACGTGACGTCAGAGTTCGGGCCGACCGGTGGTATCGAGATCACTGGCTTGAGCGAAGATCTAGAATACACTGAATTGGCTGATACAGTTCACGATCTGGTGTGTATCGCCAAGAACTTATCGCCCGGTGTGTTCACTTATGTGTTAAGCTTCCTGTCGAATATCAATCAAACCGATCGAATCGAACAACGGGAAATCTTAGAGACAGAAGACGACCGGATGAAACACGTGGACATGCAAATAGCGGCTTGTGTGCTTCTCCAACAGTTAGCAGATATGAGCACGGTTCGCGAGGCGCAAGCGAAGAAACCACAGTGGCTGCTGTCGTTTATAAAATCCTTGTTCACCAAATACACGGATGCGAAAAGACTGGGCGAAATGGAGGAGAGCGAGTGTGAGCTACTGTATCTCAGCCTGATGCTGGTCAAAACGTCGGTCGAGGAGGAAGCTGAGCTTCAGATCGATCTCTTCAAGGATTTCAGCATGTTTCTAAAGCAACACGTGAACTCGAGGATGCCCAAGCAGCTTAAATCGTTGATCAACGACGTGGTAGGCTGCGTCGAGACTTACGGCGAGTCCAGCAAGAAATACTATCAAGATTTGTCGGTGAATCCGACCGAGTCGGATAAGTTCGACAAGGCCGTGAGAGATCTCGCGGACCCGTTAATCCCCGTTCAGGCGAACGGCCTTATGACGCTCAGGAAACTGATCGAGAGCCAGGATCCCTGCACTGTCGCGCGCAGAGGGATCGTTCTGAGTCTCTTGCAGGTTCGTGCGGTGATATAACGTCGCTGTTGTGGCAAAAGTCTCTTATATGTATTTTTTTGTGATTGCAAGATATTTATAGCATCATATTTTCATAATTCCACTCTGCATATGGTGACGCAAATATTTCGAATTCATAGAAAAATGTATACAGGAAGTTTTCCCACGACAGCGACGATAATTAAATATATATATATATATATACATATATATATATATCCTAAATTTAATTAAAAAATGGACTTAATCGTGATTTAAAAATTAATTTAATTCAAAAGTTAATTTAATTAATTTGAAAATTAAATTCAACTGTGAAATACTCTTGGAAACATTTAAGTAGATCGACAGTAACGTTATATCCAATCGCCTGGCTTGTTCCTCTCGATATATCTGTTTTACATATTCGCTCGCAGACAAATTTGAAACACGAAGACTCGTACATATACCTGGCATCCATCAATGGGTTGTGTGCATTGGCGACCGCGTTTCCGCAGGAGGTCATAGAAACATTAGTGCCCGAATACATCGACATGCCAAATCGCATCACAGGCACGGAAGTAACCATCGAGACTAGAGTCAAGCTCGGCGAAATGTTAGTAAAGACGACAAGAGCCTTAGGTATGCAGAAATCAGTTTGTTCATTGTTCATTTGTACAGACCAAATGGCCGGTGCATCTTCATCTCACGTCTGCATCGTGTTAATTGGTCTCTGCAAAAGTATTAATACGCCGAACCAAGAGCCATCAATGTTTTGTCGCGTCGTGACAAACGCGAACGCAATAATCGAAGCAAAGCATTTTGCAGGCGACATGGGCGTGGTTCACAAGAATTTGCTAGTCAACGGCTTTTTGTGCGCCGTCCGCGACAAGGAGCCTTTGGTGCGAGCTTCCGCTCTCTCTTGCTTAGGGGAGCTTTGCAAAGTTCTGGGCTTCCGACTGGGAAACGTTCTCTCCGAGGTGCGTACACGAAAATCTCGCAGGAAATGCAAGCAGAAATGTCAAGTCGAGAGAGAAAGAGAGACCGTCTAAAAATCCGCTCTCTCGTCGATATATTTTCAGATCGTCTACTGCATCGCGATAATAGTGAAATCCGACAAAGCGCCCGAATGCCGACGCGCCGCCGTGCTGGTCGCCACGCTTCTGTTTCGCGGCCTTGGCAAGGACACGTTGACCAGTCTCGGTGGCGAATTGATCAACTTATATCGCGGACTGAAACACCTGCGCGACGAGGACAACGACCCGGTGCTGCAGCTGCACGCTCAGTTAGCCTTGGAGGAAATCGACCTGATTGTACAGGATTTTTTGAGCAAGCCGAGCAAGCTCGAGAAGCAGATATTCGTGTTGGACCGGCCGTTGTGATGCCGCCGGGCACTTCGATACTCATTTGTTGTATAGTATTTTTAATTAATATGTTACGGTATTTATATAATATATACAAATCTCTCGCCTTCTCGGAATCGGCTCTGAGAACGTTCTCCTCGGCAACGTACGCGTTATGCTTAATCAAGCCACCGAAATATTTCCAAGATCGACCGGTAAGAAAGTAAGACGAGTGAGCGATAAAAGCTGTAACGCCTGTGTGCATCTAACGTGCGCACATCCCGTTAAATAAATGCGCGATGAGACGACGAGAGCGCGTCGCGCTGCGTTTGCAAGAAACGAACGCGAAGTCGCGAAGGTTCCCGGATACAACACGGCACGGATGAAGCGCGGACGATCGTCGTCGGACGAAGGGAACGAGCGTATCAGCTCTCGCTATTCGCGCGCTCACCGGCGACAGTCGCTCGCGCGGCGAACCCGTTTACGAAGATTACGCGAATTCCACCATGACGGGGAATTCTGATCGGGGCGGGGACTACAAGAACGTCGTGTCTTCGGAGAAGAATCCGGCCAAACGAATGTGGTCTCGTTTGAGGCAGGCGTACAGCCGCTGCGGCTGCGGTGTGGAGGCCGGTGAAGGTCGCGGTATTATCGCCCGCAGAATAAATTCCTTGGACGTGGGCTCGGGGAACGTTTTATGCCGGCTGTCTCCCGCGGCGTCCGCGTCGTTATTGCCGCTGGTGGACGTCATCATGTGAGCGGCCTGAAACACGAGCGGAGCGTTCAGGTTTTGTCTTTCCTTTTCTCCCTTCTCATCACGACACGCGTGTACAGCCGGCGTTATGTATGCCCTACCATTTTCTACACTTTTTATCATTATATCATTTTTCAACATTTGCACATATAAGATGAAGAACGTCATAATTAGAGCCAAATGTAAACCTATTATAATTAGAGTTACTCATTGGATTTTTAACCTTACGGGTTGTGTATGTAAACCTGGAAATCGTAATTTTCCATCTAGGGAATGGTCATGTCTACCATTTCGAATTAAAAGTGACATAATGATTTTCAGCCTTATGCAAGACCTAAACTGTCATAATTAAAACTAATATAACCTTACTATTATAATTAAAATTACTTATGCGACCTTATGCGCGCCTAGCATAAGCTCGAAATCGTGTAACTCTCGATCTAGGAAATGTTACAGCGTGCAATGACACAGTGTGTACAGTCGACGTCACGTGTGTATGCCGTACTATTATTTCCTAGATCAAAAATTACGGTTTTTCGATTTTACACAAGTGATCTGTTCTTTATAGTTGAACTGGGCGCATCAGTTGGCGAAATTTATATACATTGAAGCGTACGAAATATATCTACAAGATTCTCACGCTTCAGTGTGCATAAATTTCTTGAAATAGTGCAGCCAGTTCAGCTAAGAATAAGGACCAGACCAAAAGTCAGAACCGTAAAGATCATAATTAGAGCTAATATAACTGTATCATTGTAATTGGAGTTACTTGTGCGATTTTCAACCTTATGGATCATATACAAGGCTGAAAATCGTGTAATTTTCCACCTAAGGTACGGTACAGCATACACGACACTGGCCGTGCAGGTGCGCAGGTTTGCGCCGACGCAATTTTCCCTCACCCTCTGAGCGTCGCGGAACATCGTCGTTATGCGAGATGCGATGTCACCTCTGGAACCACCAGGCACGCTCACTTCCTTGCCCCGCATCAGCTGGATCAAGAATGACGTGAATTCCTTCGAGTCGTTACTACCGCCCAGTTTGCGCTGCAGTGAATTCACTTGAGCGACCAGCGCCTCTACGCCCTCGACGTCGCGCGTGATATCCTGGAAGTATTCATTTGAAACCGGTAGCGCCCAAATGTATCTCCGCGAAGATTCATGTGTATTTATCGTTATTTAAATACACGCGCGCAGGTACGAGATGTACCTCGTATAAATTGAGTTTCTGGTGAGTCGGCTTCGTCGCGAATTGCAGTCGGTTGAGTATGCTGTGCGCCACGTCGGGCAGGCTCGGCAGAGCCTCCTGTTTCTGCGAGCTCAAGGTGTAGAGCGCTGCGTGCGTAAGGGTCGGCAGTAGAAGTTGCGCGACCTGGCCTATTCGTTTGGAGCACAGGTAGTGCAGGACCTTCTCCGCCTCCCGCGTGTCGTCGAACAGCCTCTTCTGCCGGTGCGCAGGAACTGGTTGCGCCGATGCCCACGTCGTCGACCAAGGATTATCGGGGATCATCATCCGCGGCGACAGATGGCCTGCGTTCCGGAAAATTCGAATAAACCCGGCGTGCGGGAAAATCAAAATGCACGAAATCAAGTGAAAGAAAGCGTCGGAAAGATTATTTTCCCAAGCGCTATCTTGTCCGACGAAGCGCACGCGAAGCTATACTCCTGACAATCTCCTCGCGACTCGGAGGTATTTTTGTAAATGACGCGCACGCAACCTTTCACATTTCTCCACTACAGCCTCGAGCACAATGGAGCCTTTTCCAGCGGGAAATAATTATACGAGAGTCGTTGCAGCACTTCTTACGTTACATCTTCAATTATCTAACTGAGGTGTATGAGATAATGGCGTGTGTAAAATTGCAGATGACACGGGGATTATTCGGAGATATTGTCATGGGTCCCCAGGACTGCTATTCCACGCAGGTGTAATCGTATTATAAAATAGCTGCGCAATGACGCATACCGAGCTGACAATTCTCGGTAAACGGATGTACGGAATACAGTTCCAGGACGTTTCCTAAGTATTATGAAAAAAAAAAAAAACGATACCGACCCTTTCCTTGTCCCCACTCGTCGAACCCTTCGTCGTCGATCCAGTCCCTCGGGGAGTACCATCGGATGAAGTCCTCCAGCACCGCGCCAGGATTCGCCGCCTGCGTCATATCACAAGCAAAATGGGTGTCATTACAAAGTACATCTTAGCTGGGTTTAGGCTCGACCTATCCTGAGTCGAAATTTGAGTCCCGGTTTAAATCGAATTTAGTTCTACATTAAATGCTCAAATTGTCTCCCATTGTGCTCTTTGCTGCTAAGAATAAGGAAGTTATATTGATGTTTTCTCCACTTGAAGAACTTAATGTAAAATGAAAAATTTCGACCCGGGATATCGCATGCTGTGCGCACCTTGAAGGACTCCATATCGGACAGTAGGGAGGCGCTCATCATTCGCGCGCGCATCTCGGAGGCGTACTTATCGGTGCCGAGCTGCATCATCACCTGCGCGTCCTCCTCCAGCTGGTCCTCCGTTTTCGGAACGGGATCCTGCGTGACGGGTAGATAAAGAGGATCTCCGCTTTGAATCAGCCTACGCATCAATTCCCATCCCATTGAGTCATGAGGCAGTCGTACTTTCTCAGATTTGCACCGTCGGCAAGGTAAGGCTAATGTCATATGCGCGATCTTAAATAGATAGGGGTACTTAAAACTACGAAGAGCCGTTCCCAGAAGTGCTGGTCAAAGCTAACGCATTCTTAACCAATCCTCCGCTCTTTCTCTCTTTACCTGTGACCTTACACCGACAGAAAACTATAGTTGCTTTTGGTATCAAACATATTTTAGTAGTAACAATATGCATGTAAAGTTATTATCACTAACACTATAGGACACATTAGAAAAATGGTTCTCCCGACTAATTTTGTGGTTAAAAGATATGTTTAACGCTGAAACTAACTATAATTTTCTATCAGTGTAGAGAGAGAGAGAGAGAGAGAGAAATTAACGGTACTCGATACTCGTTCAATATAAAGCACCGACAAGTACCGACATTACGTGATATTCTCGAATCTCTATGGTGCTCGCGATGATACAATAAGATAAGAAACCGTTGTCTTTGATTCTTCAGGATCTCAGACGAAATTTCGCGCTAGAGCGATCCGTGCAAATTTCCGCCAATTTGTGGCTGTCATTCGCGCAGGAAAGCGAACCTGAGTGTAGGGTGTTTGGCCAATCTTCCCGCGGGTTTGTTCCACAGCAGGTGCTTCGCCTTCAGTTGCATCCTCGTTGATGAAACCTCCTCGTTCGCCAATTCCTCACTTGAGCACTCGAAGAATTCCTCTTCCTCGGATTCTGCACAAATCAAGCCGAGCTCTGCGGTCCCTCCGTTTCCTCAGATTACGTTTCTCGCGTTATCAAGCGTCATTAATTTTCCGTTAGTTATAATATCCAATAGATACATGATGTAACATGCGCTCCAAGGTACACTTTCGAAATTTTGAAGAAATCAAACAATTCATCGATGAATGGATCGCTTCTAAAGATAAGTCTTTTTTTCTATCAGGAATACCGTGGAATCCATTTATCGACAAACAAGATGGGAAAAGGTTGTAGCAAGCGGTGAGAAATATTTTGATTGAGATACAACGTATCGTTTTTTTTTTTTTTAATAAATGCGCTTTTGAACCAAAAAACTTTTGAAATTAACCGAAACCCCTGATATATCGCGACCATTCATGGATGAAAAATATTGCGATTAACGAAGGGTCAAACGCATCGCGTATCGTAACGTTACCTGTCTCCTCCACATCATCGATGTCCATGCTCTGGGGTTTGTGCGCGTTCTCCTCCCTCGTCTTCTTCCTCGCTATGCAACAATTCATCATCTGCGCGCGTACAAACAAAGGAGATTGTTACTCAAAGAAACGTACACGGGAATAACACAGAGAATGGCATATACTCCTCAGCTGAACTAATGCCAAGGAACTTCGTTCCTTTTCCTTTCAACGCTAGATCATACACCTGTTTTTCCTTCCAACTAAAAGCGCAGCACAGCCGAGAAGAACAGGCCTAGAGACTATACACCGAGCATTTGGATGAATCGGCGTACCTGCAGCTTTTGGTGCAGCAAACACGTGCGAACGGAGTCCGGAAAGCTTGGCCCGACTCTGAAACGAAGCGCAAACGGGCGATATAATTCTAGACTCGATTTTCCGGTCGCGAGCACGTTTCACGCATAAATTTCGTCGATGGAAAAATGGCGACGCGAGCGAACGTACAAACGCGGGATCCAGGAGACCTGAAGACCTCCGGTCGAATCGCGTGCGACGACGTCGTCGTCGTCGAAATATTGCACGCTGCTTTTAACAGGCACGTTCTTTATGCCGGTCGTCGCATCGATTTAGTAATTACCCGCCTGCCACACTCGGTCGTTAGATTTGAACGTGCAGATGCGTAACGGTATCCCGCGTATTCCGTATTCCCGTGGTCGGCGAGTTACGTTGCACAGCCGCGTCTCCTATCATCGGCAATTGATATCTCGCTGTGCTAATTTCGCGTCGGTGATCTCGCGTCGTGATGCTACTAAGTTAATCGTTATTTAAATGCGCCTATATCTCACAGTTAATAGATGCGTTGTCAATTAGTCGGCATCATGTATACTCAAGATGTCTGTTACCTGGAGAAACTTGAAAAACCTGCTATTCTAAGAGAATTTTACATCTGGAAAAATCAGGGAATTTTAAACGGTCATTTTTGTCTACAAGCCGTATTATCGTTGTTTATAGACAAATATTATGTAGTTAATTGAATTTTACTTACTATTTCTTTCATTAAGAATCATAAAAAAAAAAATAGTACAGAATTTTTTGGTCTGATTTGTAATTAATTTGAACTTGAATTAAAGAATAGCGTTATATAAATCGTAGGAGCGAACTTATTAATATTTCGAAGTGCGCTTCTATTTTTAGCTGTTCTACTCACGCCGCACAGGAGATGAACGAAGCGGCGAGTGCTTTTCGCAAGAGACTCGAGAAATTAACTGCGAAAATGACATTCGCCGAGATAACGAGGATCGAACTGCGAATAAACTGGAATGGGAGGAAGACCGACAGTCTTAAAAATAGCCAGACTGGCCGATCAAGCGTCCCGATGGAAAATCTAGTTAGAGGCGCAGCAGGATACGAGACCGAAGACGCAATTGCATGGGGGACGGAGTACATGCAATGCGCTTACAAAATCTTGTCGCGTATAGCTGGCATGGCGATGCGATAATGCCGGGGGAAGCAACAGGTGAGCGACGAGCTTGTCCGAGCTCCAAAATGTTTTATTGCCCAAGCAGAGGGGTGACGCTACCATGATTCTACAAGCTACAATTAACACGGAACATTCCACGAATGACGATACACATACGAAAGTCTGCTTAAAAATTTATTTGGAAAACCACGCAGGACAATACTCCTCTTCTTTCATCCAGCAAGCAGCGTATTTTAGCGATACGAAGAATACGATTGACGCTACATTCATTCCGGGATAGCATCCTGGACGCGTACGGAACACTAAATATGCCTTTCTGATTCTCAAGCTATAACAACATACGTGACGCTCATATAAGATTTGCACGGAGAAAAAACAAGAAATTCTCTTTTTTTTCGACAAAAAGTGGCTTGATTCATTCATTGTCACGTTAACGCAAACGATCTTCTTTCTCTTTCTCTCTACACGTCCAGAATAAAGCGCCTGGAATTGTATTCTGTACGCGTATCGAACGCTAAATATACTTTTCTGATTCTCAAACTGAAAAATTAGTGTGGTTTGATCCACTTAACAATGGGCAAAGAAACAAAATTCCTCGTTCTCTCATTAACCAAATTCGTCTGTTATTTGTTATCGTCGGACAAATCAATAACTCGCAATTATTAGAACAGCATTGACGCGTACGCTATTTGGCTAATTATGATGTTACAGGGAAGAAATCTCAGTTTTCGTGCAATCAAGCTGACAATGGACGAGAGAAAAATGTCTAATCCTCAAATCTAGTTCTTGTAATCAAAAATTCTTGTAATCAAAAATTCCTGCAACCGGAAATTCTTTTCCAATCAAAACGCGTTTGGCTGTCCATCGTTAGGTAGATCCATCCAAGCTCATTTCTCAGCGCAAGCTGTAACAACATTGCACATGACGCTCCCTGTAAGAAAAACGGAGCTTGGAGTCAAAAGGACGCACTTGGCATTCGCTATGCGTCCAGAACAGGACGCCTGGTCGTTCCACGGAGCGCGACCTTCGAACGAGCAGGATAATACTCGCGGGGCGATTTCAATATCGCCGGGACCGACAGAAGACGACATCCAGCACCGGACGGGGCAGGATCGCCAAGGGTCAACTCCGCCCTCGACGAGGTTTTTTCGCCGGCGAGAGCGCCTCGTCGAGAGACGCTGAAATATCCTAGCCGGTCCGTGTAGCCGCGGCTGCCCTACCACGTCGCTGGCACGAGACAGGATTTCTGAGGGGGCCGAGGACGGACGGTCGTGCTCGGCTCGTGCAGTCGACTTCAAGACCGCGATGCGGTCGAGCTAACGGTGAAGAGAAGCCGACGCGAGTCGCCCCACGTCCGCCGCCGCGCCTGTGATTCTCGTCGGGACTCGTGCCCGGATTTCCGGGGGAGTTTCGTTTCGCTATTTTTTTTTTCATTCTTCTCTCGCCCCCTCCCCCGTTTTCCCGCGTTCCCTCTGTTGCTCCGCCGCGTGAGATGATCGATTCGTAGAGCCGCGTCCTGTGGATTCCCGCCGCAACCCCGACCTACGCTGTGCACCCGAAGGACCCGAAGGACACGCGTCCAGGTGCATTTTCCCACCGTGCACCATGGCTCAGACTGCTCGCTCGTAGAGGACGACACAGGCAACTATGAGTGAGTGAATGTTTATTTCCCCCTTCTTTTTGGGTTTTTCTTTCAGTTAGAGCCAGGGTCCGCCTTTTTTTGGTTTTTTTTTCTTTTTAAGTTAGAGCCAGGATCGCCAGTTAGTCTTTCTTGAGGATCAAGGACGTTTAGCGTCCGCAGTTTTGCAACGCACGAGAAATCGAATATCACGGTGTACCGCGTACTTAACTTCAAGGTGAAAATTCACATGTTAACTGGACATACTTAAATTTCACGAGCCATTTCGACAAGCTGATGAAACTTCAGCCGTGCGAGGCAGGATTAAGTACCGAGCGCTTGTTGATTCGTATCCCGAATTTCCTCGGCTCGTTAATGCCCGCGTGTAACGGTATTATTAGTTTGCCCACGGTAACGGGTGAGCTACCTCGTCGTCCGATTATCTCGAGACGTTGGGCCAAGCAAACCTGGCACGTGTGGCAGAAGTGGGAGAATGCAAGGTTGAAAGTGTTACTTTTCAACGAGCCGCTCGCCGAGATCGACGGATATTTAAGTCCCGCGGGATAAACAATGTCGTTGGTGTAACTAAGTTTTCCATTGCCCGGGGGCCAGATGAGAAAATCCGGAACGGAAAGATGCCCGTGGGAGATTTCTACCCGGTTAATTGTTCTCAGTTGTCTAAGCAGAGTTTTATGCGGCTGACCGTTCACGCTAATGTTCTCAGTAGCGGAGATATCGCTTCTTATCGCCGAATTTTCATTCCTTGTCACCGGAGTTTTTGTCTATTCCGGTTGCTGGTACCGAGTTCTTTTTTTCCGTGTGCGTACGTTTGAGAAAAATGAATAAATATCGGATGACAAGGCGCGAAATAACGCAGATCCACGGCGTCTCGGAGATTTTTATGCTTCGGGAGACTCGTGCGTCCCAGGACGAAAATCCGAAATCGACGGTACCCGGACTTGTTCCCTGCCGAGCTGGAGAAATATACGTACGTCCGTTTGCACGGCTGGCTGTTCGCGCGGACGCCACCAGCTATACTCTTTCGTGAAACTATAGCCGCGTCGCGCGTAGCGGCGGACTCTTCGAAGGGTTAATGCACCTACGCGCGTATCGTACGGCTATCGTCTTCAACGTACACTGTCCGTCCGACCTTGAACCGCACTGTAGATACCACGTACACGTTGTACAGGGTATACAGACTCGCGTAACCAGACGCCGAATAAGTGTTGGCGCGCCACGCTCGAAAAGTCCGCGCGCCTCACATCCTGCGTTTAGCCGTTTACCTTCTGCAATGCGCAAAGTCGAGGACGGACGAGGCTCTGAGAAGCGTCCGAGACATCAGCGACATCATGACATTACACTCTCCCGTAGGGGGAAGGAAAAACGCGCCTTTTTCTTCGTCGGACGCGAGGCGAGATCGATCGGGAAGTCGGCGCTTAGCGATTTACAGAAGGAGAAAGAGAGCGTCGACGTTTTTACGGAGCCGCTCTCGCGGAGAACGCGTGGAATCCCTTAACGTCCAGGTATGACGGACGAGATACGGAATGATCGAGGCTCGGAAACGCTATCGGGGCACTTTGCATAAAATGGACGAGGCGATCCGGAACGGAGGATCGCGAAGAGAGTGTCCTCGAGGCTCGGATTCTCATTTCCGCTCGATCGATCGGCCGAGCGACGATCGTGAACGACGTATGAGCGTGGTACTCTCGCGAAGAAGATGAAGACTCGCGATATCGCGGGATGCGGATGGGTAAAATTCATACGCGGGATAAAAGCATGCGAGCGAGTGGCGGAGTAAAAGGGAGCGTGGATAGAAAGCCGGAGGAAAAATCGAGCGACGCACTTCCCGATCGCGTACCTTTCTTGTGTGTGTGTGTGTGTGTGTGTGTGTGTGTGAGTCGTGTCGATATGTGTTAGACGATCGATCCCGTCGTGCTGATCGTTCCGCGCGGCTTCATGACGTTACGTAAACATCGAGCGTGTAATTCCATCGGGAAATATATTTTTTTCCTCTTTTTATACAATGACGCCCGGAAGAGCGAGAAGATTTTGGAGTTTTCGCGCGCGTTCGACGCACCAAGTCGAGTTTCGGATAGTACTGTCGGTACAATCCAGGTATCCGATATCCAAGTGATAGTCGTAAACGCGGTCTACAATGGGCAGTAGCAGTATGTTTGTAAGAAGTAAGAATAAGAAATTAACCGATCATAGTCGATTATTCTCCTTATATTCGAATATGATTGGTCAGTTTCTTATTCTTATTTCTTATGAACTCCTACTGGCCATTGTAGACTA